ATTTTTTTTTTTTTTGCATTTAACATCATTTGATTATTAAGTATGATTATAAAGTATATAAATGCATTACAATAGCAAGAATTTAGTGTGTAATGTGTTTAATTTGTATTAAAATAGTATCACAAGCCTTGCTTTCTTTAAGCAAAACAGTTTTTCAATTCAAATGTGCATGTTGTGCATGTTTTCACTACATTTACATATATTAGACTACATTACGTTTTATATTAGTATCATTGAGATACTATTATAGTTTTATTAATATTTCGAATATTTTTTCTATTTTCATTTTAATTTGTATTTTTAATGTCTATGTAGTTTTATTTATTTATTTATTTAAGTTATTTTAGTACATCACATTAAGCCAAATGAAATGTTGCCTTGGCAACTAGCTGAAATAAAATGTTTTTTTTTTTTTATTAATTTAAAATTTATGTCGATCAAATTGAATGTTTTTGTGGTTTTGGTTTTCGTTAACTATAATAACTTATTGTATTTATATGCAACTTTGAGCTTTTCTTGGCATGTGCTTTGAATTGTTATTTTCATAAATCGCGTCTGACTTTCAACTTGTATTTCACTTGAACTTGATCTTAAATAAATACATTATTTCATCCGAGAGAGAGAGAGAGAAACCACAGACAAAAACCTAGATCTCACATCCAACTACCAACAAAAGCAAAATGACCAAGCTGTTCTTTTTCAACTGTTGTTCAACTTGATCTCTCATCTCAACCCCCTCAAACAAAACAGCCGGCTGCTGCTCTATTGACCAACATTAGTTCCAGGCCAGAATAAAGCCTGTCCCACAACCCCTGTGACCTGTGACCTCTGACCTCTCCCATCAGCCTCTGGACAGACGGCCAGTGAGGCGAACCCTTAACCCTTCACATGCTGGCTTACGAACACGATACAGCTGCTTATTTTGTTTAGTAGACTTTGCAGAATTATAAAGCAGACACATGATTAGCAATGAAATTTATTTGTTCTTTTAACAAATAACTAAAGGTTGACCAAAATTATTATTATCATTAGTTTCCCACAGCTAATGCAAATAACAGTATCTAGAGAGCAGATATTTCATTTTATTTGAACAGTTACTGGTTATTTTATTTTATTAGTTAGTGGTTTATGCTTGTAATAATAACGATCATTTCAAAATAATAATGCCTGATTAATTGCATTGGCTGATATATTAGACCATCTAATAATCTAATATTATATTATATTATATTATATTATATTATATTATATTATATTATATTATATTATATTATATAAATAAATAATAAAAAAGTGTGTGTCTGTCACACGTTATTTATTTATTTATTTACTTAATTGTTATTCATTAGTTAATTAAATCAAAAATTATTTATTATACCATAGTACATTTTTTAAC